TGTCTCCTGCTGGTCGGCCCAAGTCACCCAGCTGGATTTCATAGTTAAGATGGGACTAGAACTCACCGTCTCCTGGTGACTGGCCCACAGTCACCCAGCTGGCTTTTGGGCCTAAGGCAGGACTACAACTCACCGTCTCCTGGTTTCTGGCTGGTGCCTTAACCACTCAATCAACCACTGACTCTCTTACCACCCATGAGACAAGGATTACAAAGAGAGGGAGTAACTCTCCAGAAACTGAGAACATAGAAAGATTTAAGCGCGTAAGCTCAGGTTTCCCTTGTGGATATAACCTCTTGGTTATTCCTGATTGAATGTATTTATTAAATTTGTACGTTTGTTAAATTTACACGCTGCCCATTTCACTGGTGAGGGACTCTGGGCAGCTTATAACCTCACAAAAACAGTGATATAAAATAATTATATAAAATCCTGAAGACATCGAGTATGAATATAATAACGGGCCATTGTTAAGAAATTATAGCAGTCAAGGTAATCTCAGTCCTGAGCAAGCTTTGCAAAAAACCCTTTTTATCTGAAATCAAACCATAAAACATTTTTTATGCTTTGGGTTAAGCCACAGCTTGCTTAATTATGCTTTATTGACTAAGCCATAATTAGCCGGGTTCCTGTAATAAATTAAGCTGTAAACCATGGTCAGCTTTATGGCTTGGTTCGCACATGGCACTAAACCAATAACAAAACAAATGGTATTTGGCGTCCTAGAGTGAGCAAGCCAGCCAAAATCACCTGTCTAAAAGGCTCTCGTTAGGGGTGAGCTTGCCAAAGCTGCAATATTCTATTCAAGTAGGATTTCTGGTCAAGTCCACTTTACTACTGTGCCAACTGAGTTTAGCATGTGGGGACTTCAGCTCCCAGAATTCCCCAGTCAGCGTGCTAATGAACTGGAAAATTTATGGACTACAACTCCCAGAATTCATTGCTGGCTGGGGAATTCTAGGAGTTGAAGTCCACACAGCAACCACAGCTCCACCAAAGAGGCTACTAAAGCTGGAGAACTGCTGTGATTTTGTATGGGGAATTCTGGGAATTGAAGTCCACCACTCTTCAAGTTACCCGGGTTGAAAACGCACTGCTCTCCATTTAAAATGACTGAGAATTGAACACACTAGAAAGATCTTTTTTTTCTCCTGCCAGCTTCCTTGAACCAACAGCACCATTCCGCTTCAAGAGAGTCACACCATTTGTCACCTCTTTCGCAATCCACACTACCACACGTGGACTCTTCTGGAAATCCGGCTGGCTTCCGATTCCCACGTGCACCATCCCCGAAACAGAGGTGATCTCGCTAAGCATTAAAGCTCCATAAAGGGACTCTGGGATCCATTTAACGGGGAGCAGATTCTGGCAGGGCTCCTATTCCCAAGCTTTCTTCAGGAATGCCTTAAGAATGGATGACGTACAAAACCCCACACTCACACACTCTTCCTTCCCGCACAAAACCCACACTCACACACTCTCCTTTCCAAGAGGCCCATGAGATGGAGGCGATCAATACGAGGCCTGGCAATCCTGTATGTGTGTCAGAGCTGGGCTCTCAACAATGCAGAGATTGCCTGGGTCTGTGGATTTGTGTATGTGTGTCTCTGTGTTTGTGTGTCTCTGGGTGTCTTCCAGATGGGTAGCTGGCTCTGTTTTGCAGTTTGAGAGAGGGGTGCTGCCCTGCCTGTGAAATCCCCATGCAATGCATGGCTAGGACTCCAGTCTTGGGTCTTGGAGGCCTCCTGAGGTTTGTGTTTAGTGGGTGCATTTGTTTTTTTTGCAAAGAAATATATGCCTCTTTTTTCCATAAAACAGAAAGGGGGGGGATAAAATAAAATAAACTAAAATATAAAACGAAACAAAATAAAATAGTATAACCTAAAATAATATAACATGAAATAAAATAATATAAAATAAAAAAATAATAAATTAAAATAGAATAATAATTCAAATCAAACCAAATCAGTGAAACGAAATGAAACCCTTTTTGAGAACAGGTAAAATCCTGGCGCCTTGGCAGGAGAAGTGTGTGTGTGGGGGGGTGTTTCCCTTTCAATAAATGCTCCCCTCCTCAATTGCAGCAAAGCGGGCATCCTGCACGCATATATTTACATCCTCAAGCTGGCCCTTTCCAGACCGGCTGGGACTTCGCCTCCCAGAATTCCTAGCAGCCAGGACAATAGCAACGCCAGCTGAGGACGATGGGAGAGGTAGTCCTCCGAAATGGAGCCCGTCCTGCTCCCTCCGGGGGCTGTCTTTAGCCGAGAGAGACAACCTCCACCCACCCACCCACCCCCCGCGCGCCTTAACCTGGCTAGCCTTTTTTGTCCTTGCGGGGACGGGGGGAGCCCCCAAATTGGGGTGGGATGGGAGGGGGGGGGAGAACTTCCCCTAAGAGGCCAAGCCAGAATTCCCAGCATTTGATGGAGGAGGGCGGGGGGGGAGGGTGAAGGGGGGAGGAGAGGGCGGCATCCTTCCCACCCTGGGATGCAGGAGC